TGTCAAAAGGCTATATTTGGGTCATGAATTGGTGGTGGATGTGTGCCTGGATTGCACTGTGTTTCGACAGATGACAGATCAAACTGCGAGAGAGTGTGCTGCATGTGTACCCAATGTAAGTATTTACGTTGTTTTTTTTATTAGTTTTGTTTATATATATATATATATATATATATATATATATATATATATATATATATATATATATAGGGAAATCCGTTGATATAATCCAGGCGAGTCCTATTAACACCATATAGAAAAATGTTTGAAATATGTTAAAACTGACTCGCAGAAGAGCGCAATATATATATATATATATATATATGAAGAAATATACTCTTAAGGTGTGCTATATTTATGGGATAAAGTGCTCAATATCAAAGATAGAGTGTGTATAAATATAAATATAAAAGTGAACATTGAAATCAACGGGCTGTTTCATGCTAGATACAAGTCCGCACAAAAAGATTGCATCTAGCATGAAACAGCCTGTCGCCTCTAAGTATACACACACACACACACACACACACACACACACACACACACACACACACACACACACACACATATATATATATATATATATATATATATATATATATATATGTGTGTGTGTGTGTGTTATTCTCATACATAGCAAATTTTAGTGTTTCAATACTATGAACAAGATTAAAGATCTATCTTCCCTCGTAGAGAAGAAAAATGTCCTTAAAAGATTTTACAAGGAATTGTGCAAGCACATAATACATAAATTCGCGAAATCATATTGATCGATTAATCAATTAGTCAGTTGATCGACCCCCTTGAGAGGCTTGAAAACGTTTCCCCGTTTATTTCGAAAGGATGGCAAAGGAAATTAGAAAAACCTTTCACGTGGATAATTAAATCCGAGGAAGAAAGAATATTGAAAGAACGAATCGATCATGAAGAATAAAGATCAAAGCTGTAAATACACGTGTGTGAGAAAATCTTTCCTGAAACCACTTAATCAATTTTAATATTTAGGTTATTATATATATATATATATATATATATATATATATATATATATATATATATAAGATACAATATAATTTTATAATTAATGGATATATATATATATATATATATATATATATATATATATATATATATATATATATATCCATTAATTAGAAAATTATAATGATTCAAATTTTAATATTTCTCAATATGTCCGTAAACATTTGCTAATACATACATCGTTATTTTAAAATTTAGATTATTACGGCATAAAACAATTTAGAAAGTAATGATAAAAGGAAGACCGTACAGGGAAAGGCATTGCTTTCTATCTGACTTACTTCATGGGGCATGGATACAGTTACCTAGACATGTCTGCTCTATAATGCAGAAAATAAGTATTTATTTTATATAACACATTTTTTTAAAAAAAATAAGGTCCTTCTTTGTTAAGGCACTCCATTCAGTAGTGAATATTAGATTTATAAAGCAGATCGAAAATTATACAGTGAAAATTTCACATCAAAATTCAGCTAATTAATCCATCATGGAACAAACTTATTGCTCCAGCCAATTAAATATATATTTTGTGTGTATATGTATAGACTCTACCTTCGTTCAACTGCACACACACGGGCCTCTTCCCATATCTATCTCTTTCTTTATTTATTTATTTATCTATCTATCTATCTATCTATCTATCTATCTATATATATATATATATATATATATATATAATATATATATAAAAGCGAACATTGAAGTCAACACTTTGAGGCGACAGGCTGTTTCATGTATTTGCGATAGAAATAATCTGTAAAAAATGTTATAAAGTTTAATGTACCTAGTTTTAAGTATAGTTATTGCATAATTCTTTACCACAAAATTTGCAACAATTTTTAGATAGGTAAAAAAATATTTTCTTTTTTTCAGAATCAATTTGATCCATGGCTTCAAATGAGGAAAAAGTAAACTGTGTCCTTTGGTTGGCTGAACTGAAATCTACTATTGCTGAACAAAGAAAGTTTAGAATTGAATACAATAAAGAACCACCTCATAGGAACATTATTGCTAAATGGATGAAAAAATTTAAAGAGAGAGGCTCCGTCCATGATAAGTCACGGTCTGGAAGGCCTTGTATCAGCGACGAAAGTATTGCATCCATAAACTTAAATAAAAGTTCAATAAAACCTTCAAAAATATAGATTTATTTATTTCTAATCCTTTTTACAAATTATTTCTATCGCAAATACAAATAAAGTTATAAATTTTTTAAAGTGCTCACGAACTTTATGGGGCCTGTATATATATATATATATATATATATATATATATATATATATATGAAGAAATATAGTTTTAAGATGTGCTATATTTACGGGATAAAGTGTTCAATATCAGAGATAGAGCGTATGTAAATATAAATATACAAGTGGGCATTGAAGTCAACAAGAGGATAATTCCACTGTCCGTAATATTTAATTTAAAGAGGGCTCAATACAAAGTAGAGCAAAATATTATGCATTTTAGGATATTAAATAGAAAACATCTTAAAAATCGCTACACAATTACATTTATGTTTCAACACTACAAATGTTTCTCATGGGGCGATCGTAAACTATTAGTGAGTGAACGATTATTGTAATTTCAAAAAACAGAATACTTACTCTTTTTTCGTCAGAAAAAAAAAAACAGAATTAAAAATAGGCTTGTGAGCTTTACCGTGATTAACCAATCGAATGTGACCTACGCTAAGTTCAAAGTCACCGAAAAAATATTATATAGGACATGACACGAAGTTGTCTGCGTATAAATCCTAGACAATTTCATTATGAACAGATACAAATAGTTACATTATTTCGTAAGATGTATAGAAGTCTAGCATTGAACTTTCCTAATAAGTAAAAGCGAAAGAGGCGGGAAGGTAATTTAACATAATGCTAATCAGTTATATGACTGGACAGTTACGGTCATAAAATTTTGTAGCTGATAAATAAAAGACCGCTTAAAGAAACTGATAAATAACTTAAACATTTCAAAAAAATAAATAAAATAAAAATAAAATAAAATAAATAACAAAAACAGATCAGAAATACAAAACTGGTAAATTAATATGCAAACGTTGAGGAAAGACCATCCACTTGAGACGTTAATAATACTATCTAATCAATATATATATATATATATATATATATATATATATATATATATATATTATATTTTTTTAAAGCATTCCGCCCCGAGCAAGGTAGGAAGCCACTAGGATGCAGGGGGTTGCAGAAGATTTGGATCGAGAGCAGATAGGAAAGATAGAAGAAAGGATGAGGAGAAGGAGAGTGGATAGATCAAGGTAATTGGAGATGTCGATTGACATTACATTTGAATAGTTTGAGATTATAGCTCTCAGGGAAACAGTAATAGAGAAGGGAGTTCCACAGGCGAGAGGTGCGAGGTATGAAGCTATTGGAGTAGAAGAGACGGCTACATTTAAAAGTTTCTACAGTGAAAGGGTGAGAGCGGAATGCCAGCCTCGTAGGGCGCTTGAATAATATAGACATATTATGTCTATTTATTTTTATACTGATCTTTTCCAGTTGACTAATCAGTTTCTTGATGTTAAGTTGAAATTCATCAACAAAGGCGCCATAGCATTTTTTTCCTAACCTAGGTAGTTTCAATCTTTTCCGAGATCATTTACAGGAGTAAATTACAAAGATAAACCTATTGTAACGCCGATAACATATATATATATATATATATATATATATATATATATATATATATATATATATATATATATATATATTGATCTGGTGATTGAAAAGAAAATACGCGAACGCGCTCTGTTAAAATTTTAATTTATCAATTGTAGTTATATATGTTTATTTGTTTAATTGTGTGTGTTTGTTTGTCTGTGTGCGTGCATTTTTCACTGTTTAACCTGAAGTAAATTTTGTAACTAGCCTGAGTTTTCGTTGCTATAATCAGAATCGATCCTTACGCAACATAATTTTCCTCCTGTTATATATACACTTCACATAAAATCTGTAGTCAAAAATTTATTTTCAAGAGAAAAATAAAACGCGAACAAATGAAAAGGAAGTTGCGAGCAGAAAACCTGTGAAAAAAGTGACCCCCACTCTCCGAAAAAACCCAGAGATAATAAGGAAGGGGATTGAAATCCAGGAGTGAAAGGATAATGATTCTGTTGGTTAAGATTAGAGAACTGTCAGAAAAGGTGAAAGGCTAACAAAAAAAGGGAGTGACCTTATTGTTAGGGTAAAGAAAAATGATAAAAACTGAATTTAGGAGATGTCAGAATGAAAAAGAAATTAATCTCTAAAAAGGAGAGTAATAAAAGATAAAAAACAGAGAGTAATAAAGGATAGGGAAAAAAAGGAGTGCAGGAGAGATGGGAGAGTTTGGATGACGATGATAATGATGATATTAATTAAGGGGAGTGACAAACTAAACAAAATAACTGAGAACAACCATTTCTGAATAGAAGGAGTGAATGATCAAAATTGTAAATAGAAGAGGGGGAAACACTGTGGAATATTGTTAGGGAGGGGTAAGAATATCGAAAAAGGGTATTTAGGTTAACTCGTGTAAAAGTCGAACAGGATGACTTGTAAGAAAGTGCAAATATAAAGCTATCAAATAATTAGTAGAATAAGAAAAGAGATGAGGAAAATACGATATAGAGTAGAAGCAAATAAAGAAAGAAACAAACAAAAAGAAAGAAAGAACGAAAGAAAGAGAAAGAAAATGAAGAAAGAAAGGGTAATAGAGAGAAAAGGAAAGAAAAGGCAGATGTTTAAAAGCAAATAAGAGAAGAGAATCGATAAAATTTAGACTAGAAATTAAGAAGGGAAGGTTACATTAAAGAAAGATTTAAGACAAGCAACAAACAAAAACAAACCGAAAGAATAAGAAAAAATCAGATGAAAAGAAAGAAAGAAAGAAAAAGCAGAAGGTGACTTGATAAGGGAAGAAAGAAATATTAAAAAAGAAACACGTTATAAGAAAGAAAGAAAGAAAGAAAGAAAGAAAGAAAGAAAGAAAGAAAGAAAGAAAGAAAGTGAATTGATAATCTTAGAAAGAAATATTAAAAAAGAAATAGAAAAACATTATGAGAAAGAAAGAAAGATAGAAAGAAAGAAAGATAGAAAGAAAGAAAGAAAGAATGAAAGAAAGAAAGAAAAGAAAAGAAAAAAGCGGAGAGGGAGCTGCGAACGCGAAGAAAGAAATATTAAAAAAAAAACATTATAAGAAAGAAAGAAAGAAAGAAAGAAAGAAAGAAAGAAAGAAAGAAAGAAAGAAAGAAAGAAAGAAAAAAGCAGAAAGTGAGTTGAAAAGCGAAGAAGGAAATATTAAAAAAAGAAAAAGAAACACATTATAAGAAAGAAAGAAAGAAGGAAAGAAAGAAAGAACGATCAGTATTGCATAAGAAAGGAAGAGAAATACGAGCAGCGAAATAAAATAAAAAAAGATTTCAAAGGAAAAAACAAAAAACGAATAAAAAATAAGAAAAGTTGGTAAGGTGAAAGAAAGAAAGAAAGAAAGAAAGAAAGAACGAAAGAACGAAAGGAAGAAAAAGACAAAACGCAGTGCACAAATAAAGGAAGAATGAGAAAAAATGGTAGAAAGACATGTTTCAAATCAACAAAATGAAAAAGAAAGAAAGGAAAAAGAGCAGTTATAAAGCAAACAAACGAAAGAAAGAAGGAAAAAATAAAGAAAGAAGGTGAAACATCAAAGGAAGAAAGAAACAAAATAACGAAGAAAGAACGATGAACAGTGCGCCAGAATTAAAAGAGAACTAAAAAGAAAGACAAGTTTCAATGAACGAAATGAAAAAAGAAAGCATGAAAAAAGAAGAGGGCACATACAATAAAAGAGAGACAGAAAAGAAAAGAATATATAATGAAGAGTAAATGGAAGAAAAGAACGGAAAGAATTGTACAATGAAACTGAAATGATGAGAAAGAAAAGAATAAGAGGAAGGTCATAAGGTCAAACCTAAAAGAAAATGTAATTAAAACTAAAACACTAGATTGAAACGAAGGGAAAAGAAGATTAAGAAAGACAGTAGAAAGAATAGGAGAGAGAAAGAAGAGAATATAACCAGATGGAAGAATTGCAAGGAAGAAAAATAGTCTGATTAAAAGGAGGAGTAAATAAGGAATGGCGAGTAATAAAATAAGATACGTATTTACGTTGCGGGTGAAAATATACATAAGTATTTGAACACAAAGAGAGAGAGAGAGAGAGAGAGTGTGTGTGTGAGAGAGAGAGAGGTAGAGAGAGAGGTAGATATATATGGAGAGAGAGATTGAGAGAAATAGAGAAAGATATAGATAGAGAGAGAGAGAGGGAGGGAGAGATAGAGATAGATAGATATCAGTATATATATATATATCAATACATACATATATGTATATATATATATGTGTGTGTGTGTGTGTGTGTGCGTGTGTGTAGATAGATAAATAGAAAGCGAGAGAGAGGTAAGATATAGATAGAGAGATAAAAATAGATAAAAAAAAGAGAAAGAGAGGGGCGAGAGATAGAGCGATATATATATATAGATAGAGAGAGAGAGAGAGAGAGAAAGAGAGATAGTGAGGGGATAGATAGATAGATAGATAGATAGATAGATAGATAGATAGATAGATAGATAGAGAGAGAGAGAGAGAGAGAGAGAAATAAACATGGGGACAAGCCAAAAATTGGAAACCAGATCGAATAGTTAAGCAGAAAACCAGTAAAACGTTATTCAAGATAAACCCAGCAAAACGTAATTAACAAAGGAGAGTAATATCGGAAATCGAATGAAGAATCGTAAAAATAAAATTAACGAGCGAAAAGAACGGAAAGGAAAGTTCAGTAAAGAAGAAAATATGGAAGAAAGCATACCCCCCCACTGTTACGCACTACACTAAAATAATAGCTTAGGGGTTGGAAAGACAGAATCCGCACAACTTGATATAAATTATTATCAAAAATTTTGCGGGAACTTTTTCAACACAGTATATATATATATATATATATATATATATATATATATATATATATATATATATATATATATATCTGTGTGTGTCTGTGTATGTATGTATGTACATATATCAAAAAAAAAAAAAGAACAGTCAGATTTATAATCCACAGTTCTCGATACACAATAGAGCATACTATTATAATTATTATTTAAAAATCTGTATTCATCGCGACACAGAAATTACCATGTTTCGAAAGCAAAACCTAAATCTTAAGCTTAAAATTTAAAGTTTTTGTTCCATTTTCCAGCGATGTTGAATAACTTTCGAAAGTTATATATTTATTCAAATATGTTCATTGAATAATATAGACATTGTGTCTACTTAATTTTATACTGATCCTTTCCAGTTGACTAATCAGTTTCTTGATGTTTAGATGAATCTTCTATCCTTTCCCCAAACATGACTCTTTACTCTTGTTCTTAATTCTCTGTAACTCCTTTCTTGCTAGTGGCACTCCCACCTTGCTTGGGGTGAATTACCTGAAAAAAATAATGGTTATCAATCTAGTCTAGAAGACAATTGTTTCTTTGGTGTGAGTTCGATCCCAGTGTGTACTTGACGCATTTGATCTTGTGCTGTATTAAGCGTGGTATACAATTGGGAGCGCACCATTGTGTAATAAATAGTAAACTCACTGTGTAGTTCGATTCTTATTAGGTGCCTTTCACTCATGACCTTGTGCCATCCTAATCTCATCTTAAGAGAAAATAACGAAATATCAGGAAAGTGAGAAAACTTTTACGGAAAACTAGAAACGCAAGAAATACAATTGACTGGATCGTACAGGAAAAGCGTTGAGAATATTCAAAGGCAAAATAATCGAATCAATGTAGAGTTAAAAAAAACAGAGAGAGACGGACAAATTTGATGAGTTTTGTAACATGAGTGCCTATCAGGGAGATGCTAATGTATAAAAAGCGATAAAAAAGAAGAATTTGGAGAATAAAAAGAGAGTTAATAACAACGAAGTGAGAATGAAACGAAATGGAAAAAAGATCGAGTAACTTTAAAACGAAGGATATGTAGAGAGTAAGTAGAGTTTTCGAAGGGGAAATACCATTGTTAAACCTCGCGAAAACAGTGTAATGGGGGAAAAAACAGCCGGTAATCGGATAACACTGGCCACATCAGAAGAATTTTCTTGGAGACTGAACGAAAGTTTCGTTCATTCCAGTAAAGCAGAAGGTACATTGTTCATTAATGATGGACAACTGACAATAGTGCGGAAGTGACGCACGGAAACGCTAATAAAAGAAAAAAAAAAAGCAATATCTGCTGAGACATTTGGTTGGGGCTTTTTTTTTTCTTTCTTGCTTAATATTTTTACGTTGTTCTCTTTTACGAGAGTATTCAGTTTTCCCCGAGTAGCACAATAGTTGTATGTTGGCAGTGGTTGTGATGGTTGGTAGAATGCATTGTAAACAGACGATAAAAGAAATGGATGGAGCAGAAAAGAAAAGAAAGGAAGGTTAAAATTCCAGTTTCTCGTAAAAGATTTCTCTCTTTCTTGATATTTCGTTATTTTCTCTTAAGATTTGGTTTGTTTGTTTTTTTCTTTTACGTCATATCAACCTCAATGGATTATTTAATACTGACAACTTTTTTTTCTTGGTAATATTTTGTTTTCTCAAAAATCTATTTCTGTTAATATTTTTTTCCTCAAAAATGTATAGCTAGTAATATTATTTTAAAACATATATTGCTCGTAATAGTTTTTTCTTGAAAAATTTATTTCTGGTATTATTTTTTTACAAAGTATTTCTGGTATTAAAATCTATTTTTACACTTTCATAAGGCTTTATACTTCAGTTTGGGGTTAACTATTTGCCCATAGCTGGGACCCTAACAAGTGCTACCACACCGATTCAGGGTGGTCCTGGCAACACCAGCAATTAAGAGGTGGTTACATGCTCCTCAAAAGCTCCTGATTAGAGGCCTTGTTGCTGGATGTAGTTTATCGTCTTACCCAGGACGCTTCTCTTAAGATGAGATTAGGATGTCACCAAGCCATAAGTGAAAGACACCTATTAAGAATCGAACTTCACAGTAATCTATGAGTTTACTATTTATTACACAATGGTGCGCTCTCAATTGTATACAACGTTTAATACAGCACAATATCAAATGCGTCAAGTACACACTGGGATCGAACTCACACCAAAGAAACAATTGTCTACTAGACTAGATTGATAACCATTATTTTTTTTAAAAGTAATTCCCCCAAGCAAGATGGGAGTGCCACTAGCACGGAAGGGGTTACGGAGAATTAAGTACAAGAGTAAGGAGGTTTGTTTGGGGAAAGCATAGAGGATTCATTTTATAAATGCAGATACAAAAGGTGAAGTGAAATGAAAGAGATAAAAAAGTGTATATACAAAACGCACAAAGAAAGTAAAAAGAACGAAGAAAAAGGAAAGAAAGAAAGAGACGAAAAGAAAAACAAAGAGAAGAAAAAACAAACTACAAGTAAATATGATTGGAACAAAGAAAGAAAGAAAATAGGAAATAAAGAAATATATAAATAAATAAACGAAAGGGAGAGTAATGGGAAAGAAACGATATCTGTGTATATTTCTGAGATGAGATTACTTAATTATTGACAGCATTTACATTGTTCGTACTGTTGTCCTCATCTTTATTGCCATATTCACGTCGTTTCGGCCGTTGTACGTTCCGGCCTTCTTTAGTTGGTTGTAATTTCGAACTGAACCCTTTCCAAATTCCAATCTCTTAAAGAAGGCCGAAGCGTACAACGGAGCATACAACGGTCGCATATATGGCAATAGAGATGAGGACAAAAGTCTGGACAATGCAAATAATGTAAAACTAAGAAAAGGCATAAAGAAAGAAAGAAAGAAACAAACAAACAAACAAAGGCACTGTATAAACAAAGAATGGAAGAGAAAAAGCGCAAGCGAAGAAGGAAGAGAAAGAAAGAGACGGTAAAAGAGAAAAAGGCAAAGTAAGAAAGAGAGGAAGAAAGCCAGAAAGAAGACATGGTACAGAGTAAAGCATAAAGGAAAAGAGAAAAAAAAAGGACAGCGAAGAAGATAAGAGTAAAAGAAATAAGAAAAGCATATCAAAAGCATATGATAGAAAAAAGAAAGAAAGAAAGCTGAAAAAGAAGAGCGAAAACAATAATTCAAAGAAAGAAACTGGAAATGAACGCGTTAAATAAATCAAGCGAATTGACGTGGAGGAAGGAAAAGAAAGTGAAAGTGAAAGTAAATGAATAGCTAAAAAAATGTAGAAAGGTTGGTTCCATTAAAGCAGTAAAGAATTGAAGGGAATAACATTGGAGCTTAGCCGGACAGTTTTTGAGGCGAAATCGACAATTACAGAAGACAGAATTAAGATGAGATTCTCTAAATGTAACAAATGAGAAACAGGAACCCACGACTAAATCTAGGAAGAGAAATTAGAAAATAACAAAGCGCTAAAAAAAGACAGAGAAAGGAAAATACTAAACAGTAACACACCAGACACTTGAAGAAAACATATCTATATATTAACTGGGATCAAATACAGATCAAATATGAATTAGAATCCATTAGAATTATAGCATAAGGAACAAATAGGGAACGTTTATAAATTCAACAGGTTTCTCTTTTATTTAAGCTTCATCAGAAAATCAAATATACAAGAGAAAAAATATTATGGTGTTTTTTCTTCATTGGTTAAGCGGTGCTCATGTGTATCTGTTCTTTCAAGCAGCGTTCGTGTGCATAACTTATGTATAATTTATGTGTGTATGTGTAAAATAATTCTAGTTAGACTATGCAGCATTCGGTTGATGATGTGTGCGTTCGAATATCTAGTAGGTATTGTCATCTATGTTTAATGGTTGTTCGTATGTTGACTGGAGGATGTTTTATGTGAAAATGAAAGAATTTAAGTTACACCGATTGTAATTGCAGGTAGAAATATCTTGAATTCTTCAAGTATGAATTTTAAAAAAGTTGGTGATATAAAAAGTGTCGTAATTATGTTCTTTTTGCTAATTAAAGTGGCATTTATAAATGGAACACACACACACAAACACACACACTCATATATATATATATATATATATATATATATATATATATATATATATATATATATATATATATGTATGTATATATATAAAATAATTAATTAAAGAATATCAAACAATTAAAATCCTATAGGTAATAATTTTTATTTCATGAAACATCAAAATTTTTTTTTAGAGCTCTCATAAAATAAAACTTATTACCTATGGGATTTTAAGTGTTTGATATTCGTTAATTAATAATAATTTTGCTCTGTCTTTTGAGCTCTCCATGGATCTATATTCTCCTGAAAATTCCATACGGCTTACCTTATTGTATCATTATATATATATATATATATATATATATATATATATATATATATATATATATATAACACAAAAATAGCAAGAAGTGCTCAGCGACCTGATTTGTAATCAAATCAAGAGTCTTTAGAAAATCACGGTCAAAAGAGAATAGATTAATTTTCCTAAATATTCATATACCCCGTGAATATATATATTTTAATGCTATACGTTAATTATATAGACAAAAATATTTAAGTAAATGCCCTGTTTATAATAAACAATATTAACAACATTTACAGGTCTGAATGCCCGAGAAATTTCATAGGAAATATGCATTCTCCGACAGGGACCGAAACTGTATCCTACACAGAACTGTCATATGGCCTGACGTGCTAAACCAGTTTAGCTACGAAGGAAGCATCTGGTTAGCAAGGTCGATTTACTGCTTTTAAACTACAAATATCCTTGTTATATAAGTAACGTATAACAATAAAATATAATAAAATAATTGTCGAACTTAGTCCATTTAATATATATATATATATATATATATATATATATATATATATAGAGAGAGAGAGAGAGAGAGAGAGAGAGAGGGTAAATCAAATAACTAGATGTTAGCAAATGTATATGCGCGCGTTAGCGTGCATACACATGCAAGCAAATAAAATATATTTTATACATTTTTTTGTTTCTAATTATATTGAGTCGAACTATGGTTTTGTAATTTTTTATTTCCAATATAAATACATTAGTGCTTTTCCATCATTCGCCTTTTCATTCAATTTTCAAAATTATATATTTCTAAGTGAAATTGTTTTTCAAATAATTCCTAATTCCTGCTCTTGTCTAAAACAAAAAGCTTCTACCCGGTATCAGGTGTAAAAATATAAATTTTTACCGGAAAGTTCCCTGGCTAAAATGTTCTATAAAATTCCAAAACTGATTCCACATATGTGGGAGAGTTGATGGATTATTTAGCGACAATAAAGATCAAAGGAAACTTCCTAAATATTCACACGGTGAAAAAAGAAGAAAAACAACAACAAAAAAAAAAAAAACAAAAACGTGAGTACGCACGCACCCACATACAAACACACACATACATACATTCATATATGGATCTATGTATATTTTTGTTGCTTAAACGTTATTTTAGTGGATACCCATATTCGAGTAGACGTTTTGTTTTATTTTAAAGGTTTTTTTTTTATTTCATCTACCGGATGATGATACGACATTTTACTTTATGTCTTTTGTACGTTTTGCACGAAGAACTCATCATCTTTAACTGACATTTTACCGCCCTTGAAAGGAAGTTGCTACTGAAAATTGTTTCAATTAAAGAATGTTCAGCATAAACTTGACGAAACATTTTGAGCTTCTCGATAAGAGATTTGTTGAACTTTACGCCCCCCCAAAACAAAAACAAAAAAACAGTGGAATTTCTCAGCCACCATAAAACTCAATGACCGTCACCACAGAAGGTTAAAAAAAACCCTTCGTGTAACAGTTGAAGATAAGAAGAGAGAACAGAATTTTTCGTTAGAATGACCCCGCAAGCTGGGTACTAATAAGCTTTGACTGAGTGCAAATTTCTCTACAACCCAATGAATTATTCCTATTCAGAGAATTTGTTTATAGAAATCGATACGATCATTGTACTAAAAATTGATTTGATATATCTCTTCATTTTAACCAGAATGATTATAGGCATTCACTAAGATTTAATTCCAGGTTCCGTGCGATCACTGAAGTTAAACAACGTTGAGCCGGGTTAATATCTAGATGGGTAACCACTTGGGAATGCCAGCTACTGCGGGCTTGGGTGTGCGGGTGGTGTAATAGATAATGGCTCGGAATTGTTAATGGGAAAACCGAGTTCCAATCGGATCCGTTATATTCACGCAAATATCATTAGGAAAGGTATGAATCCACCTCTTCTCCCTCCAGCTATGGGTTAATTACTAAGTTTACCAATAGACCATTATTATCTAAAAAAGAATCTTAAAATCTAAAAATATTTTCTGGCTTTAAATAAACCGAAAAGGGTTGATAATCCGTAAAAAACGATTTAATCAATCATATTTAATAGGTAAACACACAGTAAGCATTAAATACAAAAGATCAGTGAAATGATGCTTCTCGTCATCAATCTTTAGTAATTTTTTGGTTAGGCGTCAGCAACCTTTTGCTATGTGCCGACTTAGGGTTTTAAAATCATTCAATGTGCCAACAGCAGATGTATTTTTATATAAGTCAAGGTCAATATACCCGTTCTGTACTATATTTTATATAGTAATATATAGTAGGTATACTTTAGTATATGTTAAAATTAAAACAGCTAAATATCTTCTTTGCGTTGTAGTAGTTATTTGCTGCGGCTGCGTGCCATTGGAAATTGCTCGGACGTAGGTTGTCGACTCCTGGTCTAAGTAATAGGATCTATTAATTATAGTAAATGCAGCCATAAAGTGTTTGTTTTTTTGTGCATATAGATGAGGATCACTCCAAAAGTAATGCTTCATATTTTAGTATGTTGACCCAGGATGTCAGAGTCGAACGTTGGTTGCTTGTGAATAGAGGATAAACCATCCTGCCAGTAACCCATAAATATAACTGCCTTGCAACATGATAGTGACAGATATCAAACCGGCTTGAAAATCATGGATCGTATTGCAAATTTTTGGCTGGGCTCTCATACCACGCCCAACGGATTTGGTGGCTGCCTATTTTCATCTGCTCGGGAAGATGAAAGATGGCCTACGCAGTATTTTCCTGACAATGTCACCTTATCCGCTGCTCTGAAAAAGTGGGTCGCCATCAATGCAAATGTTTCCATGCGTGACATTTAGGATCTTGTTCATTAGCGGAGAAATTTCATCACCATTGGTGATGACTATATAGACAAATAGTACTTTATAGCCTCTAATGTTATGTTAATAACGTTTAAAAATAATACAAAATTACATTTCTTATAAGCGAAATTAATGTTTATTCATTCCTAGATTCAAATTAACTTCGGCCACGATGGTATGTGGTTGTAATGGCATTCATGGAACATTGATCATCTCGGGTGGATGTAAGTGATTCTATCTCTTCTTTCCGATTCGCGCGTTTATATAACTTCCGGTTGTCTTGTGTGTATACATTCTAAGTGTGAAAATTACTCCTTTGAGTAGTTTCTAACACATTACCTCACATCTCTCAGTTGCGTTTCTGTCTTTGGGCAGAGTGCGCTCAAGGGCTACTCTCGACAGAGTTGCAACTGAAGAAAATTATACTAAGAGGTTCCTAGCCCTGGGGAACATCTGCCCGAGGCCACGCTCTCTCATAGTACCAGAGAGAGGGATCGGTGCTCACACCGAGGCCAGCGCAACCGTCGTACTGCATAAATTTAAACGGGTAAATTGGTCGGCATCTCAGTCCCACCCTTTCACTGTCGAAACGGCTAAATGCAGCCGTTTCTTCTACTCCAATAGCTTCATGTCTTGCACTTCCCGTTTGAGGAACTCCCTTCCTCTTACTTGCTTCCTTGATAGCTATAATCTCCATCTACTTAAATGTAATGTCAATCGACATCTCCAGATGTCTTGAACATCTGGAGATGTCGATTGAACGTAATCTTGAATCTTGAACGTAATTTTCCCCGTTCTTCTCTCCATTCTTTCCTCTTTCACGCATCTTTACTCTTGCTCCCACTTTCTGTAACCCCTTGCGTGCTTGCCTAGGGTGAAATGTTTAATTTATATATATTTTTTTGCGTATGTACTTACTTTTCACCCACCATATATATATATATATATATATATATATATATATATATATATATATATATATATATATATATATATATGTATTTAGGGTGGATGAAAAGTAAGTAGGCATTAAAATTGCTAATAAAATCCATATTCCTATTACAAATTTATTTAAATAAATGATACATGTTCTTTAGTACATGGGAAAATGAAAGTAAATCTTCATATTTCAAACTAAGCACCGGTGACCACAAACAGTTTCCTCAAACAGCCAAGGATAAAATAAACAACCTTCTGAAGGACTGCCTCTGGGATATCACTGACAACCTCCTGAATCCGTAAATTTAACTCCTCCAGTGTCGAGGTTTTGTGTAACCCCACAGGTAAAAACTCACGTGGTCTATGATCTGGACTTCTTGGAGAAGTCCGTGTCGTCTCATCCAATCTCCTGAAAACTGTAAGAGTAAAATGGGGTGGTGCACCATCCTGCATTGAATATCAGGTCACCAATGTTATCCTAGCGAGACACCGTGGCCACACGTAATTTTCCAGCATCTGAAGACAGCGGTCCGTTTTCATGGTGTCACGCAGAAGATATGGGCCAAAGTCTCTTGTTGCCGTTATTCCGCACCCCACGGTCACTTTTGGTCGAGCTTGCATCCTCTGAACCGTCATGTTCAAATCATTATCACACGATAGCCAATAATGGCAGTTGTGACGATTGATAAAACCCCCAACATGGAATACAGCCTTGCCACTCCAGAGGATGTTCAGGCCAATCTCCATGTCCACATAGCATTAACTCTTCATATTCCATTTAGCGGTCACAGTCTTCAGTTCCTGCACGTAAATAAGAAATCTATTTTAGTCTTGTCTGTTTAAGAAATGTTTTCGTCATGACTTCAGTGATACTAAAAATTCTATAAGCAATTTATAATGCCTAGTTACTTTCTAACCATCCTGAATCCTATATATATATATATATATATATATATATATATATATATATATATATATATATATATATATATATTATAGAATGGTACTATTTATACACAAACTGATGGCAGTAAGTATGGGAAACCTTCTCGGACCGTGCTTCTCCAGTTATTGTATGTCCTATGTTGGAAACAAGGTTTTTACTAAAGTTATTAAACCCGAAATATATGTTCGTTATATAGACGATATATTTTTTTTAGCTGAAAAGAAAGAAAGAAATAGAAAATCTGAAAAATACATTTCAACAAAATTCCGTCCTAAATTTTACTTATGAACTTAGTGAAAAAAAAAAAAACTTCCTTTCTTAGATGTTCAGCGTCGATTTTAGCAGTGATGCTTTTAAAACTTCTGTTTATTAAAAACCAACTAGTAAAGACTCTTGTCATCTTAATTTCTCTAGTGAATGCCCTCTTAGATATAAAATAAGTGTTATTAAAAATTTCCTCACGAGAGCGCACGAGAACTCATCCTCTCGCACGCTTTTCCATAACGAATTAAACAATGTAAAACAAACGCTGATTAATAACGGATTTCCTAATCAATTGTTGGATTTCCACATTAGGCGTTTTCTGTCTAAGGTAACTAATAGCAACGACGAGATTAGAAATATAAACAATAACATTAATATTTTTTATAAAAATCAGATGGACGAAAATTATAAACAGGATGAAAGCAGAATTAAGAACATTAAAAAAAAAATGCATAACACCAGTTGACAATAGCAAAAAATTAGATTAATTATTTAGTACAAAAAATTTAAAACCTCTCACCTTATAGTTAAAAATAATAATTCACCCCCTAGAACAAAATTAAATAGGACAAATATTATTTACAAATTTAAATGCCCATTAAAAAATTGTATTCCTAATCAATCAAAATTCGTAAATAATTATATAGGTCACACTACAACATGTTTGACGCGCAGACTCATTCTACTCCTTTCTGACCATAGCTCAATTAGATCTCATTTAAATATTCATGGAGACCTATTCGTAACAGACTTGTTGACAACACTGATATAATAGCATCATCTAAATGCAAAAAAAGGCTAAAAATAATGGAAACCTTATTAATAAAAAAAAAACAACTCTTTGAACATGGACACAATATCTTGGCAGTGTTTTGAAAAATTAAAACATTTTATAAAACATACATACAACAAACTATTTCTTATTTAACAGTTAAAATATAATCCTTGAAAATGGCTAAATGTATAGCTGAAAGCACTCTGATAAAAAGAACATTCGGACAGTTTTTATATAATTTATCAAACGAAAAGAAAACAAAAATTATTAGATCGCATGAGAAATTGTATAAAAAACTAAATAAAAAACACCTTGTCTGTCGATTTCAATGAAATATATATATATATATATATATATATATATATATATATATATATATATGTGTGTGTGTGTATGCGTGTGTACGGCGGAATAGGCAAATAACTACACGATCTACAGTGACAGCGACAGTCGGGTTGGCGTAACCAAGTCGGACCCTGATAGAACCGATAACTCGATGCAACCAGGTTTTCCAGATATTGCCTAGCAGGGAAGGCGCTTCTGACCAAGTGTGTGGGCTTCTCCGTCACGCAGAGATGTCCACCAAAATCAAATTCGTGCCAATTTCCTTGTCAAACTCTGACTTTGCTTTCTCTTCGCGAGGTTGCGGCAACTGGACTCGTGACTGGGCTGGCCTATTCAGAACGACTCGCCCAATCGCGTCCACAACACACACTCTTCTGTGTCTCCTGATCACGACTCTTTAGGAGTAGGCTGGGCCTTCACAGCATTCTCCGAGACCAGTGCAGGGGTTGGTTTAGAATGGGAATAAGGAGATGACAATCCCGATGCGAGCGGGTGCCGACGACATGGAGTGTTTTTCTTATTCTTTTTCCCCAGTTTTGAATTCAGAAAAGTGTTAGACTGGCTGCCAACCAAGGCTAAGTATGCTCAGTCTGTCTTACTTTTTAACCCATAGTTAGGGAGTGAGGAGAAGAAATGAATTAAAGCATTTCTTAAGCGCATTGAATGCAGCAAAATACATGGAAATTTAAACCCGG